AACATATGCACTTGTGTCTTGTGGAGGTAGAAAAACAAAGTTCTTTAAGACCCGCGGGACTGTTTGTAATAAAGATTTAAATGTAAAAGGCACGAGAGCTGACTGTTTCTGTCAGTGGTAAGTTTGAATTTAAAATATGTGCATAGCCGTGGGAACATATTTTATCTGGGGGGTGCTGGGGGCGGGGCTTGATGTTGCAGGGCGGGGCCATGGTGGGGGATTTTTGACAAAATCCTAATATTAAACAGCCCAAACTCTTATAGATTAACATACAAATTAAGACAGAGTTATATGCGAACCAATATATATTTGTGCTTTCGTGATTTTAGTTCAATCATTTTTTCTTTAATATTTCCATTATTTAAGGGGATATTACTAAATATTAACATCGCTGATACGCAAAACTTTTGGTCAGTGCACTTTGGCGAATTCTTTCATCAGAAACAACAAAGTGCAGATATGCATGCAATGTAAATAAGAGATTAATTCATCATACACTGCAGACAACATCACTCATTATAACTTATTGCTTTTTTAGAGTGCTTACACTCACGCTAGACTGAATTCAGTGATATTCTTATATAATCTAAATGTTCTTTCTTGCTGTATAATTTGTTCGTTGTTTGAATAATCGTGGACATGCGACGTTATAATTAAACTTAAAATATTGTAGCGAATCAGCTCAAAGGGGAAATATGAATCAAGTTGATCTTTGCTGAAGTTGGTTGATGAAAAAGAACCAGTTTGAGTCAGAGAATCTTGGTGAATGGAAAAGTCAAGGCCGAAGCCTGGCACGAACTTAGCGGGTTGCAGAAGCGTTCTAGCTCATGTCTTCATCTTAGAATCTAACCGAACCGCAGACTGGAGGCGGGTCACTGATGTGAGGCCTTTAAGGTCTGAGAAGATTCACGCCTCTCAAGATGGGCTTGTCCAATGAGAAATTCCAAGCAGGAGTTTGGAAATGCTGGGGAGTTTTATGACCCTTTGTGTGAAAGCATGGTAATTTATTCATTTTTAAGTATTTGGGATTTTAAGAACAAGTGGAAAATGTGCTGAATGTTTCATTTCATCCAAGTGAAATTAGCAAGCAGTTAGACTGAATTTACATTTGTTTTAAACGTAGAGCCAGGCACGAGTTGACACAGGTTGCGCGCGACTCGTGCGTCTAGCCTCGTCCATATTGCCAAATGCGCTAGTGGAGACTTGCGGTGCTTAGCTGGGCACGAGTATAAATGAGCATTACTAAACAGGCTGCGTGTGTGAACGGCTCGTCCGTGAGACGCGGGATACGCGCAGCTTGGGGCAGAGAGGAGCAAGTATGAGTATTTTAGAGAGACAGGCTGTGTGTGCGGCTGTGGCGTTGCTAGACATAAAGCTCTACTGGGGCACAGGCCCCCCATTACTCATATCACTATTCTTTCTTGAAAGCCAGTTGCGTGCAATAAGTGTACAACACAATGAACTATACAAACTTGTGTAACCCACCATTCCTACACTGCAACAAGCACTAGGGAATGTAAATATATACATTAACGATTTATGAACATATTTATTTAACTGTCTTCAATTATGTGTGGCATAATAGCTAAAAGCGGACTTCCCTTGTTTTGAGTGAACCCTTGGTATTTCTAACTGATTCGTTCCTAATGATCTGTTAGGTTTATATCCAGTGAGCACATCTGCAATGTAAGCCATTGAGTGATTAAGAAACAAATAATACTACTTTAAAATCAATCCTAAATGTAACTGTAAGCCAATGTAAAGACCTGAGGACTGGTGTGATATGCTCAGATTTTCTAATTCTGGTCAGAAGAAATCTTTTGCACATAAATAAATGTTAATTTTATAAGACAGTTATACAGAACACAAAAATTTGTTTATTTTTGCTGCAATAGGCTAGTGCAATTCCATAGATTTGACAGAGGTTTTCCTGAGATTTAATTCTTTTCATCTGATGTCTGAGACCTGACTCTAATGGCTCAGAATGAAGTTTGTTTATCAAGTCTTACCTCCCGCAGACTCATCATCTCTCCTTTCTGCTTCTCTGTGACTGCTTCTTACAAAAAAAATTCTGATGTCAATCTACAGGAACCAATAATGTTTTAGCCAAAATATGATCATCATATTATTTAGAAACATACTTTAGTTTCGCCCAGTGCTTGAAGTGGAAATACAAAACTGCCGATACTCCCGATGTGCGAGGGAAATCGCGTTCGTGGGCTGGGGGATCCCCCTCTGTGGAAATTGGGAGGGCACAGGGCAGCATGTGAGAAGAAAAATTCATGGTACGCTAAGGGTTAAAGTATAAAAGTGCTGCTACGGCGTACAGGTGAGTACCAGCCCGCTTTCGAGCACTGGTTTCGTAATTTTTTTCATAGCCCACCTCAACTGCATGCCGACCCATCTGCGTGAAAGGCTGTGCGTTGCAGTTGCAGTTAAACACACGCGGGCGTGGATTTCTGCGTGCATGCATTCGTCAGTTTGTTTTTGGTTAAACTGTGTTGCTTTTACAAGCGTTGATTTGGCTGTTGCATATAGATTAATTTCTTTATTCCGGGATTTTTAATCTAAATTAATAGACTGACAAATAAAG